GTTAACATTTCCTCGCCCGGAAAGGGGGGGGCCCGGACATGGGGAAAGAAAAAGGGGGAACCATGGAAGGGGCTGCAGGTATTCACAAAAAAAAAAAAAACCAAACCTGGAACGAAAAAGGAACCCCCCCCCCCCCCCCCCCCCACCCTCTCATCTTACCTAGCCGTATCGAGGTTGGCCTGGTCCCTAAAGGTCGCCAGCGACTCCTGTGCCAGGTCTACGTAGGACTCCACCTGTTGCGACCAGAAGTACCCGCGCGCGAAAAAAAAAAAAAAAACAGCGGCGGTGACAACCACAACCAAGGAGAAGACGAAAGGGGTGAGGGGGGTAGACGCTCGTTGGTACAGAAGGTGGAGGCAAGAGGTGTGGTGTGTAGGCTCGGATCTTGTCATCATCGATCATGTAGAGGTCTCCTCTTCTTCGCGGAAAGATTAGGGGCGGAAAACCGGCAACTTCATCACCAGGTTCCCACAAATATGTACAAGTATCACATTATGCTGATCACAGTCATCGTAATTCCAATAGCCACGTGCGACGTCAAAAACAGGCTGTGATCAATGGGTTGTACCTCGATCACCCCCATCCAACACCACTTCCAATGTCAAACGAATTGGAACTACGCAACCACAGTAAGCCCCAACGCCTTCCATCTATCGTCCTTCAAGTCTTACGGAAGCTAAATGTCGTAGAGACCGCGCAGCCATCGAGCGCACTCGCCGAACACACAACATCGCTCTTTCTAGCGTAGCTGTGAACAGGGGGGGGAGGGGGGGGGCTGAGAATGAATCCGCGTCACACTCACGTGCTCCACGGGGCAGCCTCGTACGAGGGCTCCCAGAGCGATCGCGCACCACATCAAGCACGTCGAAGGGTCGCGCGGCCACGGCGCCCCTTCCCCCCCCCCCGTGGTTATAGCAGCAGACCACGGCGTCCCCTCCTCGACGTCATCGTCGGTGCAAGACGATGACGAAGACGATGACGAAGAGGACATTGATGACGATGATGATACGATCCTTGAAGGAGGATTCTTGACGGCAGAAAACATGACGCCAACCATTGCTGTCCGGATAACGCTGAGCGCGCAAAACGAGGGAGGGGAGGGAGGGGAGGGGGGGGCGTGCTCTTATGTTTTGCATGTCTTAGCTGATAAAACATTAACCACCCCCTCCAGGGGGGGGGGGGGAAAAATATAATAACAAAAACGACCTCCGGACAACCTAGATGTTACACACATCAAGCTAGTCCGCTCTCACCCCACCATGTAACATGGTGAACATATTTTTTCCCGTCGGGAGCCCCGCAGAGGG